AGGAGGAGGAGGAGGAGGAGAAGGAGAAGAAGAAGAAGAAGAAGAAGAAGAAGAAGAAGAAGAAGAAGAAGAAGAAGAAGGAAGAAAGAAAGAAAGAAAAGAAGAGCAATACTAGAAAATTTTCAATGCACATAATTAGAGAACACCAAGGCTCTTTGACCCACATCCAGCTTCACCAGCGTCCCCTGTGATCATCTGTCTTCAGCCACAACCTGTCCGTGCTGCACCCCTTCTCCATCCCAGCACTCCTCATGTGGGGTCTTCTTTAATGTTTTCCAACAACATTTTTAGCTGCTGTTGTTTATTTTTTATGGTGATGGGGATTGAACCCAGGGCCGCATGCATGCTAGGCAGGTGCTTTACCCCTGAGCTATCTTCCCGCTCCTCAATAATATTTTCTGTCTAGGTCTTTATTCTCACATCATTACAGAGTCACAGGAAGTCACAAAACTGGTAGATAGGACCCAGGGCCTTTTCCAAGTTTCCCACAGGCATGTATCTCATGTAGCTAGAGAACTTGGTCACAACCCAGGCAGTAGTGTCGTTCCCAGCTCAGAGCAGAATCAGGGTCACTAGGTCTTGTGTGTGTGTGTGTGTGTGTGTGTGTATGTGTGTGTGCACATGCGCGTGTCCACGGAGCCTTTAAGAGCTCTCGGTTCGGGCTTCGTGCTGAGCCTTCCCATTCATGTGCCAGGCCATTTTCATCATGTGCAGATGCGGAGGTTTCTGCTCAGGGTTGAGTTGGTCACATGACTTCTCTGCCTGAATCTGTCCACACAGAGTTCATTGACAGGTTTCCAAATGTCAAACCACCCTTGCGTTTGAGGATGAAGCGATGGGCCTGGTGTGTGCGCCTTCTCACACTGTTGGCTGGACTTGTTAAGATTCTATCTCGCAGCAGGTTGGTCTCTCTGTTCCTCTGTAGAGAGAAAAGGACCACCCGAGTCTCTCTGCTGTCTCTCAGGGTCTCTGTCCCCTGTCTCTTTCCTTCCCCCTGTACTCTGCTTTGGCACGAAAGAGTCAGCCCAGCGGGTGCTCCCAAGAGTGGCACAGATGGAAGTCACCTGCTGGACGCTCCCCCACCCACTGCCAGGCAGCCACGGGGGAGTGAGCTGGGCACTGGGGCCCGAGCTTCAGAAAGGCCTGCAGAGCTGTGGTCCCCAAACCCGCTCAGGGGAGGCCTCTCCTGGCCTGACAGCAGCCCTCCCCTCCCAGCGCTGGCTCAGCCCCCAGGAGCCTCCAGAGGAAGTGGCTGAAAGGGGCCGGGTCAGGGGTTATGACCCCATTGTGCTCAGGCCTGATGGATGGCGGGCTTGTCAGAGACAGTGGCAGAGCCTCCGCAGCCCCAGGGAGATTCCCCACTCCTCCACAGTCACTGGAGGGAAGGGCTCCCGCTGGCCTTCCACGGCCACTAGGGTGCCATCCTGCTGGGGGGAGCCAGGCCAGCCCCACACGTAGCCCTCCGCTGCCCCTGCCCCACCCCTAACCACAGGGAGATGGCGGGACCCTGTCTGCTCGCGGGGACCTGAGGGGCCGTCCCGGGCTAGCCAGGCCTCTCTTCTGTACAGCCAGGTCCTTGTGAGCGTCTGGTGACGCCTCGATCACTGGGAAATGGGTCGTGACTTGGCCAGGGACATGAGCAGCAGTGGAGCTGGCCCCCGACTTCCTGCTCAACAGGCCGGATTGGCCGCACGAGCCGGGCACACGGCCGCCCCCCAGGGCCTTGATGTCTGGCGGGGTCGGGAGGGGTCTGTGCGTGCACTGAGAATCTCACTCAGTGGGCAAGGTCAGGGAGGACAGCGCGGGGGTCACAACGGGAGCCCCACCCAGCCAAGCAGTCAGGGAGGCTGCGAGGGGAGCTGATGCTCTTGGGGAATGAGTAGGAGTTAAACCAAAGTGGATGGGGCAGCAGGGAAAATCATTCCAGACAGAGGGAACGGCATAAGCAAAGGCACAGAGTAAAACCCCATGGTGTGTGTGAACCACAGCAGTTCTGTGGTGAGAGGGGAGGCAAGTAGGCCAGCAGGACAAGGTCTTCAGGGCCCGGCACACTGTTTAGATGTTCACATTTGGGAATTTGTCATTTGGATAGGGGAAAGAGTCAGGATCTGGGCTCTACCCCTGCCTCTGTTCATCCACATATTCGGCTCACAGAGTGGCAATGTGACCGTGGGCAGGTGTTGTGGTTTAGATGTGATGTGTCCCCCAAAGTTCCTGTGTGAGACAAAAGTTCAGGGATGAGCTGGGCACTGTGTGCACGCCTGTCATCCCAGCCGCTCAGGAGGCCGAGGCAGGAGGATCATGAGTTCAAAGCCATCCTGGGCAATTTGGTGAGGCCCTGTCTCTAAATAAAATATATAAAGAACTGGGGACGTGGCTCAGTGGCCAAGCACCCCCAGGTTCAGTCTCCAGGACCAAAGAAAGCCAAAGGTTCAGAGGTGAAGTGATTGGGTTATGAGAGTCTTCACCTGACAGTGCAGGGGTCCCCGGATAGGAATTAACTGGTGGTGACTGTAGGCAGGTGGGTGTGGCTGGAGGAGGTGGGCCGATGGGGATGTGCCTTTGGGGTTTATATTTTGTCCCTGGTGAGGGGACTTTTCTCTCTGTGCATCCTGGTGCCATGTCTAGCTGCTACCTCTGCCACACCCTTCCGCCATCTCTCTGCCTCACTGGGGCCCTCAGCAATGGAGCTGCCATTATGCACCAAGACCCCTGAAACCATGAGCCCTTCCATAAACTTTTCCTCCTCTGAAGTTGTTTTTGTCAAGTCCTTTTGGTCACAGTGAAAACGCTGGCTAACACAGCAGGTCACTTCCTGGCCAATGGCCGCCCGTGGGCCCAACCCTGCACTGCCTGGTCCTGGTTCCTGGTCCCCACGAAAACCTGGAGACAGGGCTGGGTGAGCTCAGCAGGACCTCACCTGGCACCTCACCTCAGCAGACCAGGGCCCGGCGGGCACACAGAGAGCGTGAGGGCTCGCAATGTTGAAAGTGGGGAGGGGACCAGGGTGCAGCTCGGCTGGAGCCTTGCCGGGGGGTAGGCAAGGTCCTGGGTTCAATCCCAGGCACCAAAAAAGTGATCTCACGATGGCCCTGGAAAGCATGAAGAACAAAGCAGACAGGAGGGGAGGGATGGCTTGGGGTGAACCACAGGAAGTTGCCCCTGGACCCAGGGGGCTGGCCCACCTCGGTCATGGAGCTGCATCAGGCCCCATGGGGACGTCTCGTCAGGGGAACTGCATGTGAGTCGGGCTTTCTGGCATTTGTAGTAAAAGGCCTCCCTCCCTGGTCCAAGCTGAAAACCTGAGTACACTTCAAGAACGGCCTGTCCACAAAGAGATTTTTGCAGAGACACAGGACATAAATATGGACACGGGTCCTGCTCCTCGCCTTCACTTCCAGGAACTTTAAAATGTGTGAGCAGGGTTGTGGGTGCAGCTCAGAGCGGGAGGGTGTACTTTGCACACCCCAGGCCCTGGTTCCTTCCCAACACTGCACAAAAGAAAGAAAGAAAGAGAGAGGGGAGGGGAAGGAAGGAAGGAAGGAAGGAAGGAAGGAAGGAAGGATTGTAGAAATTTGGAAATGAAAATAAAGCATTAAAAATTTTAAAGTCAGATGGTGCAGTAGCACACACACCTGCAATCCCAGCCGCTGGGGAGGCTGAGGCAGGAGGATCATGTGTTCAAAGCCAGCCTCAGCAACTTAGCGAGACCCTGTCTCAGAATAAAATAAAAAAGGGTTGGGGATGTGGCTCAGTGATTAAGTGCCCCTGGGTTCAATCCCCCAATTTAAAAGCCACTCAAAGTGCTACCTCCCCAAAGTAATCAGGGTGCACGGTTTTGCGGGGAGCCTTACTTTCCCGTGTATTTTCAATGAACTTTGACTCCAGCGAGCTGCGTTTTTCTTTCTGGTTTTATTGAGGTGACTTGTGCCTGTAGCACCTTATATCCTGGCTTTTCACAGGGCTGTAACCGAAGACGTTCCCAGGCCATTCAGATCCCTCCTGGGCGTCAATTTAGTGGCTGCAGCATCACGTTCTGTGGCAGAACAAAGCAGGTCACATCTGGCCCCCCGCTGCCCAGGGAGGTCTGGCCACTGTTCCCAGCTGGACGCGTGGCAGCTCCTTATACCTCATTTCCTCTAACAAAGTGTCACTAAGTCAGTCTCCAGTGGCCAGCAGTGCCGTCTGTGTGTAACAAGCAGTCCCCGCGGCAGAGCCCTGAGGGCAGCGGGTCTAGAGCTCCCCACCCTCTCTGAACCCCAAGGCTTTCTTCCAGCGTTCAGTGGAGACACCAGCCCTTGGGGGACCTCCCAGGCCCTACCCTCCCCACACCTCCATTGCAGAGAGGACGTGGAACAGGAGGCCCTCAGCCTCCCCTCCTGGAACCTGGACAGCTCTCAGCTCTCAGCCCTCCCACCCCATGGGGACCCCTCACATACCTCCAGGCCACCCTGCCTGTCCCCAGGAGGCCCCCTCTTGGCTCTCCTCCTCTGTACCAATAGCACTCCTCCCCTCCTTTCTGCCACCCATAAAAGAAAGACCCCAGTTCCCTTGGACTCTCGCCCTGTGGTACGGTTTGGATGTGAGGTGTTCCCCGACAGCTCACACGTGAGACAGCACAAGAAGGTTCAGAGGAGAAAGGACTGGGGTGACAGTCTTAACCCAGTGAATCAATCCCCTTAGGGACTAACTGAGTGGTTGCTGAAGTGGTGGGGGGGAGGGGGGGGAGCTGGGCGTTGGGGCGTGGCTTCGGGGTGTGCATATATTTGTGTCTGGCACGTAGATTCTCTTTTTTTCTGTTTTCTGATCATGATGTGAGCGGCTTCCCTCCGCCACACTTTTCCGCCACAATGTGCTGCTTCACATCAAGCCCTGAGGAATGGCGCCGACCTTCTGTGGACTAAGCTCTTTGAAACCATGAGAACTTAAATAAACTTTTACTCCTCTATAGTTGTTCTGGTTGGGTCTTTTAGTCTCAGCACCAAAAAGCTGCCTAAAACAGAGATTGGTACCAAGAAGTGGGACTGTTGCTGTCCCTAGCCCGACCATGTGTTTCAGAAGCTTTTTGAGCTTTTTGGAATTGGTGGGTGGAATTTTGAGATGTTTAGCAGTGCAAGCTGAAAATGCTTTAAGTTTTTTTAAGTGGAACTTAATTGCCAATTCTGGTGGGAACTCAGAAGACCAGAATGTCATTAGGACTGTGGACAGTGAAGACAGGGCTCAACAGAGTTCAGAAAAGGAGGAATCTATTGGAACTTGGAGTAGAGGTCACTGTTATATTCTGGCTGAGAAGTTGTCTGCATTTTGCCCATGTCCTGAGACTTCCTATGAAGCTGATTTTAAAAGTGATGGACTTCTTTTTTTAAAAAAATAGTTATTTTTAGGTGGACACACTATCTTTGTTTTATTTTTATGTGGTGCTGAGGATCGAACCCAGTGCCTCATGCATGCGAGGTGAGTGCTCTCCCTCTAAGCCACAATCCCAGCCTCATAATGGACTTCATAGTCTGTCAGAAGAAATGTCTAGGCAGCATAGCATTCAGGAAGTGTCACGGTATTTCTGGTGGCTTTTGGCCACGTTTATTGTGATATTCAGAAGCAGAAGGCAGAGCAGAAATATTTGAAAAACTTGGACTTGAAAGGCAGGGGTAAAATTGGTCCTTAAGGAAGTTGCAGTTGTTAAAAAGACATTATTGTCACTAAACAAATTCTAAAGACTTTTCCTAAGACCAAAAGAAAGATGACTTGAGGTCATTTGAGGAGCTGGCAAGACCACACCCATCTCAGGCTTGAGGGAGCAAAAGTGAAAATTCTCTTGAGAAGAGACCGTTGGGGCACCTTTCTTGCACAAGGGACCTAGGAAGTTTTTTCAATGTGCTCAGCCACTAAGACACTCAGAGACTGCTCTGACCACAGGATTGTTACCTAAAACTCTCTAACATCCCTTGGCACCCACTTGAACCACCCACACCTAGTCTGTTATGGTTTGAGTGTGGCGTGTCCCCTAAAAGCTCTGTGCGAGACAACAGAGAAGGTTTAAATGATTGGGTTGTAAGTATCTTAACCCAATCAGTGAATCAATCCCCTGATTGGGATTAACTGAGTGGTAACTTAAGGGGTGGGGTGTGGCTGGAGGAGGTGGGCCTTGGGGCGTAGCTTTGGGGATATATTTGTATTTGGCAAGTGGAGGCTCGCGCTCTCTCTCTCTCTGTCTCTCTCTCTCTCTCTCTCTCCCCCTCTCCCCCTCTCTGGTCACCCTGTGAGCTGCTCCCTCTGCCATTCTCTTCCGCCATGACAGAGCTGGCTGTATGTGGACTGAGACCTCTGAAACTGTGGGCCCTGAAGTGAACTTTTCCTCCTCTCCCGTGGTTCTGGTTGGGTGCTTTAGTCACAGGAGTGAAAAGGCTGACGAAAACACCTCTGTCTCCCTCCTCCTCCCCGCAAGCCACCCAGAATCAGAACCATGGCCGCCGCTGCCTGCACCTCCTGGCTCCCAGATGCTGCCGCCTCTGCCCTGGGGAAGGCTCCAGGGCACGGGAAGCCTCCCCCTCTGCCCTGTCCCCTCGTCTCTACAGGCCACTTCGCTGGCTCCCTGGCTTCTGTGACCTGCCCTTGTGGGGGGGCAGGTCAGCAGCCTCCTCCTCCTCCCCTTTCTGCCTTGCCCGGGCTCGCCCTGGGGCCACGGTAGTAGCCCCACACAGCCCCATCTCTGACCTTGGCCATGGCCAGTCACAGTCCCTGGGTGCAGGGCAGTTGGGGCCTTTCACACTCAGTGGGATGCTGATTGAGGAGCTGGGTGTCACCATGTTTCCGGGGCCTCTGCGGGACCAGGAGTGCTGGGAGGGAGGCCGCCCCCGGTGCCTGGGGCCCCGCAGACACTGGGCTGGGGAATTGTCCTTCCAGAAAGAGCAACTGAGGTCAACTGCCCGCAACCCCCCAACACTCCCCCAAATCATTATTTAGAAATCGAGGGTTGGAAGCCAGGCACAGGGGACCCCTGTCGTCCCAGCTACTCAGGAGGCAGAGGCAGGAGGCTCACCTGAGCCCAGGAGTTCCCAGGCAGCCTGGGCACCAGGGAAAACCCACCGCAAAAAATCATCAGATAGAATAACACAGATGGCGGGGGTTACCGTTTCCTGAGTTGGAGAAACTACAGTCCGGGGCAAAGATGTCCAGGTACAAAATGACAATGTCCTCCTGGGAGACTACCACTTCCAGATGTGCCCTCCCACCTGCAGGACCTGGGCCCTCCACCCATGTGGACCAGGTCACCATGGAACCCAGAGTGACAAACCCCTGGGAACACCCAGGCCTCACCCTCGGACCAGCCAGAGAGGCTGCGCTGTGGAGGCTCCGGGCACCCGGGCCACCTCCCGGGCACCGGGGCCACCCCCCCTCGCCTGTTACCAGGCTCCTGGCTGGGCCCTCACAGCCCGCTCTCTGCTTTGGGAAGCAGCTTTATCAAGATGTGACTCACGCGCCATTGAATCCCCACGTGAGAGCACAGGTGTGGGTTGGTGCCCTGGGGACCTGTGTGACTCCACAGTCACCGCAGTACACTCTCCACCAAGAAAGAGAAGCCCGCGCCCTTTGGCCACTGCCAGCCGGTAGCAACCGCTCACCTGCTCTGCCCCATAGGCTTGCCTGTCCCAGGCACCCCCAAATTTACTTCTCTTGCTGGGCACCTGGGCCACTTCCCGGGCACCTGGGCACCTCCCCGCCCAACACCAGGCTTCTTATCAAATGGGGTGCTAACAGTGCCACCAGTTTGCTGGGAGAGTTCAGATGAGTCCCTGAGCGCCGAGGGCTGCGTCTGGCCGAGGCCACATGCCCATCTGCTGACCCACCGACCCGGGTTGCGGCTCCACCCACGCTCCCCTGGCCCTTGCCTGTGAGCTCATTTCACCCCCTCGCCACCCCCGGCAGCCCAAGCCTCTCTCAAGACCCCAGACCTCCCGGCATCTCCTCTCAGACATCCTGGCAAGCCCTCTCCAAGCTTGTCTGCCTGCTGAGTCCCCGGCTCAGTAAATGGAGTGACCTTCCACCTGGTCACCACCCCTGTGCCTCCCCCTACCCCCCACCGACCTGTCAGCCTGAGGCAGGTCTCAGCAGGCTCCTCCCCCAGCGGCCAGCAGCCGGGCTCTAGGGTCTTCCATCCCCCTGCTGGCCTGGTGCTCCTCTCTGAGCCTTAGCTTCCTGGATGACAAAACGGGGTGACAATAGAGCCTTCTCCCCGGTGTGGGAGGGTCGCCTGAACGGAGCACACGCTAACATCACTGCTGTTTCCACCTCCCACTCCTGGATGACCGGTCCTCCTGCCCAAGTCCCTGCCTCAGGGTCCCCGCACCCTCCCTGCGTGGCCTAAGGGCACCAGCTGCGGGGTGCTGACCCCCAGCAGGACAGGGAGCCCCACCAGGTTCCTTTAAGCATCGTGACACTTCCACGCATGCCGTGGCCCTCTTTTCCCAAACGAGGCTCGGAGTCCCACGGGGGAGCTGACCATTGCCCGGGCGCCTGCCAGGCCTCGGTTCATGGATTCAAACATTTACCGTGTGTGCCCGGCACGGAGCTAGACCAGCACCGACCCAGCCACAGGGCAGTGATCCTTCCAGAACACAAACCAGACCTCTCTAAAGTCAGTGACCATCACTTCTGCCCCCAGGATCCAGACAACCTTCTGGGACACCCTGGGCCTCCAGATGTGCTTCCAGATGTGCCTCACTCTGCCCACATGGCTCCTTCCCTCTGCCCACTCCCGCACTGTCCCTGCCCTGCTCTACTCCAGCACATGGGCGACTCGGGGCCCTGAGCCCCGCCTGCTCCTTCCCATCTCCCTCCAGCCTCTCCCGCGGTGCCAGCTCTCCCACCCTCTCTCCAGGTCTTTGCCTGCAAGACCTTCGGGAACTTCATCCTTGGTCACCTCCTCCAGGAAGGCTTCCTTCTTGTTTCTGGGGAGGGGTGGGAGCACTGGCACCTCCGGCCCCCTGTCTTGCACATGAGATTTGTGTCTTCTCTTGGAGGGCCAACCCTGGGCCTTCGTCATTCTGAATGGCCACCCTCTGCCTGTGCCCCACATCCCTTCCACCACCAGGTCTCCGCCTCCCTGGGACCCCGGGCCCGGTGTGGTGGTATCAAGGGAGCAGCTCCACACGGCCAGCATGCTGAGTGACCGGCCACTGGGCTGTCTCCTCTCTGTAAACACAGGAATGGAGGGACAAAGAGGGAGTGCTGGACGTTGGGGGACTGGACACCCCTGGGCTCTGGCTTCTGAGACTCCAGACCAGGGCACCAGGGGCTGTGAACCCCCTAAGTGTCCACTCCCTTCCCTCACCCCAGGCCCTCTCCAGGGCAGGCAGCGTCCCGGGGAGAGATGACCAGAGCTAGAGTCCGACCATGAGCTCAGGATCCGACCGGGCAGCGTCCTGGGCCTCAGTTTCCTCATCTGAAAAATGACCTCATCTGCGCGTCCTTGCCCGTCTCGGGTGGCGGCGAGGGCTGTGGGAGGAGACGGTGTCAGAAGCCACCTTTTCCGAGGGCAGACGCTCGTGGCCGGCTGGCTTCCTGACAGTCCCATCGTGGACACACTCTGTCTCATACTGTAAAACTTGGCTTTCTCTGGAGGCCCAGGCCAGTGTGGGTGTCCCCTGGGTTGGGGTCTGTTGTAGAGATGTCCCGGGGGGAGCATGCCATCCTCCTGCCCCCTGAGGACTGGGCTGGACCTCACCTCCACCTGTCCCCACCTCCCAGCACTGGCCACTCGCTGGCCTCTGGAGGCCGCTGTGTGGACCAGGGGAGGTGGCCACAGAAGGCGTCTCGCCTCACAAATCTGGGAGGCGGCCTGGGCTGGGGCCTGGGGACAGGAGGGTCCCACGTCTCCCTGGAGGACAAGAAGGGGCCACAGAACACCACCCTGGGCCCCAGCCACCCCTAGTGTGGCCACCCTGACCCCGCGGCCTCAGAGAAGCCAGGGACGCCCAGAAGGGAGCTCTCAAGATGGCCGCCGGGCCGCCAAGGCCCGCGCTCCTCCCAGGCGCCTTGGGAGAGGGAGGGCGCCGGGGCCAGGCCATGGTCACTCCCCGCAGCCCAGGGGTGCCGAGTGGGGCGGGAGGCGTGGGGAGGAGGGAGTTGGGTGGGTGGGGGGCCGGGAAGAGCCAGGGAGAGGGGCCGGGAGGGAACAAAAGGTCCCTTTGTGGCGCAGGGCAGGAGACGAGCGAGCGCATTACCCAATGCCCAGAAGCCATGTTGGTAACAAGAGAACCATTCTCTGCCTCGCTTGGAAAACAACTTGGAGCAGAGAGAGACAGGGAGAGATTTAACCCCATGGGCGCGGGCGCAGGGGCCCGAGGCCACCGTTGGGTGGGGGAGCGAGGGCCCGCTTGGGGCCTTCCACCAAGCGGGCCATTTCCTGTCTCCCGGGCCTGGTCTGCAGGGGCTGCGGCCAGAGGCCCAACATGGCCGCTTGGCCAGACCCCAGCAGCCTTTGGACCAGGGACGGGAGCCGTGGACATGGGGGGCCTCTACCTGCCTGGGCCTGGGCAGCACCCTCCGGGCCCCAGGCCTGGCCCACCCCAGCCTCTGGGGGGCCCTTGCACCTTCTGGCCTCGGGTTCCAGGACGGGTCCCAGTTCCGGGGCTGCCCAAGTGCCCTTCCTCCTGCTGCCCAAGCGCCCTTCCTCCTGCTGCCCAAGCGCCCTTCCTCCTGCTGCTGAAAGGAGTTGCCTCTTCCTGGGAAACCCCCGTCCATCTTTGCAGTTTTGTCCTGTAGAAAGTTTTCCCTAAAATTGAATCAAATGTCCTCATCCTCATTCTCGGTCCAGCTTTCTCCCCTTCCTGGGGGGGGGGGGATACTGAGGGAGCCTGCCTTCCCCTGCAGCTCTGGCCATGCACCCAGCCCTGTTCCAGCCCTGGGGCCATGGCTGTGGACAAGACAGACCACCCTTGCCCACAGGGAGCAGACAGCCTCATCAGGAAGGTGGACAATGAACCTTCACGTGGGAGTCCGCTGGCCATAAGCTCCATGTTGAAAAACCAAGCAGGTAGAGGGACCCAGGGGAGCTGCATTAGAAACGGTGGTCAGGGAGGACCCCTGCAAGGGTGTGACCTGGATAAAGAGCTGCATGAAGAGAGGAAGAATATGGGGGAAGGGTGTTCCAGACAGGGAACAGCAAGCGAAGGCCCTGGGGGAACAGGCAGCAAGAGCTGGAGACGGTGTGGTGGGGGCAGACGAGGGAAAGAGAGCCTGGGCCCTCAGGGACTTTGAGCAGGAACGCTGTGGTCCCGGACTCTCTGGCTGCCCTATGTGGACTACCCTGAGGGAGGGGGTCCAGAGAAGAAGCCGGGGACCTAGCAGGACATTGCTGCAGCCCCTACACTGTGCACACCCCTGACCTCAAGGCCGCAGTGCCCTGGGTCGCCCACTTCTCCTAAATACAATGCAGCTCCTGCAATGCAAGTTCACCCAGCACCTACTCTGTGCCCAGAGTGGGCCTTGTTCCTGCAGGACAGGTGCCCAAAGAGAGCAGCCCTGGTCTGTGGGTCCACAGGAAGGTGGGCCTCAACAACGACGCCCTGGCTGCGCGTAATGAAGCCGCCTCTCTGGGTGTTATTAAACTTCAAAGGGCCTTGAGCACACCCCACCCCCACCCCCAGCCCTACCTTGCAACGTCAGCAAATTTCCCAGTAAAGCAGAGGCCCAGAGCCCCCGCCTCCAACCTCGGGTGGGTCCCCAGACTCCCAGAGCCTCAGTTTCCTCATCTGTAAAATCGCAGCCAGCAGGAGGTTTGCCAGTACGCGAAAAGAAGACCGGCAGAAAGGGACACGCTGCCAGGTGAGGCCACAACCCTCAGTCACCTGGCTGGGAAGAGACAGCGTCTCCCAAGGAGCCCTTGTGCCAGGTCTCGCCAATGCACCTGCCAGGCCTCCATTCAGTCCTGGGCAGACAGGGGCCAAGTGCCTGCTGTGTCAGCAGCACCTGGAGCGTGGGACTGTCACTGCGGAAAGTACTGACAGTGTGGGGGCCTCTGGACGGCAGAGAGCAGGTGCACAGCCCTGGGGACGGGAGCGTGGCAGGCTGGGCGACTCCGCCTGAGCGGAAAGGAGCGTGCCAGGACTGAGCACCCACCCTAGCCCGCAGGAGAGCCACCCCGGCTCCCGGCCGCCCCTTTCTCGCCATTTGACATCGTCACCCACCCGAGGGGCCCCACAGGATGGTGGCGGGAGTCAGTTGTGCGTGTGCTGAGTGTGCGAACCCCTGGGAGGGGCTGTTGGTGGCGACACTGGAGGGGGCCAGGCACCATTTACAAAAGAATCCTCATGCGCAGGCAGAGAGAGACAGGGACCTCAGGGGCAGAGATGGCTGGGTGGAGGCCCCAGGAGTCCTGGAGGAGGCCAGAGGGAGGACTCAACCTGACTGGGAGGCACAGGGAGGGCGTGAGGCAGGACCCGAGCGGGGACAGGCACATCTGCTCAGAGGACCGGGAAGTCAGCCCCAGCTGGCAGGTGAGCAGGAGGTGGCATGTGGCTGCTGGGGAGCTCCACCCGCAGGCCACAGCTGCCAGTCTCACCTCCTGCCACCCAGACTCGGCTTAAGGCTCCTGCCTGGTTAGTGTGACCTTGAGCAAGCACTGACCCTGTTAAGTTATCTTTTTATCTGAAAAATGAGAAGGTGTTGGCACCCACCTCATAGAACTGTCTGGTAAAATAAGCTTCAGGGAGGGGAGGTGGCTCCATAGTCAGCATGTGCAATGGCTCTGTCCCCAACGGGCACACACACAGCAATAGCAATAAACTTCAGTGTAGCTGTGGTGCCTGAGGTGATATACAATAAATACTAGTTTCTGTTTTTGAAAAATCAGTTCATTTTTTAAAAAGTTCCCAACCAGCCGGGCGCAGTGGCACACACCTGTAATCCCAGCAGCTCGGGGGACTAAGACAGGAGGACGGCCAGTTCAAAGCCAGCCTCAGCAAGGCCCTGAGCAACTCAGTGAGACCCTGTCTATAAATAAAATACAAAAAGGGGCTGGGGATGTGGCTCCGTGTTACGTGCCCCTGGGTTCAATCCCTGGTACCAAACAAAAGAAAAGTTCCCAACTGTTCTCACCAGTGGGTGCTGCCCGCCCTGCACTCCCTCCTGGCTCCCCGTGAGGCTCGACTCGCTGCCCCAGCTCAGTGCCAGGGACCCCTCCAGGAAGCCTGGCCGAGGATCTCGGCAGTTGTCCATTCCACCCCGAGGGGAAGGGACTATCATCCCCCCATTTTACAGCTGGGAACACTGAAGCTCAGAGAGCCGCGGGGCTGCGCGCTGGCGTCAGAGCTGGATTTGGGGTGAGAGGCCAGGCCTCGCCCGCCTCCCAGCCCCGCCCTGGGCCAGGTGCCTCTGTCGCATGGATCCAATGCCCAGAGGTCACCGGTGGCCTCCTTCCTTCTCAGAGGAGGAAGCTGGAACCCAGACACGGGCTGGGACTGCCAGCTGCCACCCAGCCAGAGGTGGCCAAGCAAGTCCGAGTAGGCCCACGGGTCTGCGGATGCAGGGGCTGGTGGGAGAACAGGAGCCCCTGGGGGACAGGCCTGAGGAAGTCTGGGGACAGGGGGCAGGTGGCCTCAGAGGCTGGGCAGCCGGAGAGGCAGGGGGAGCTGGGAGTTCAGAAGGTGACTGTGCCAACCTCAGGTTTCGGGGCACCCCTGCTGTCCAGGTACTGCCCCCTATGTGGCTGAGAGTGGGGGTCAGCTGCGGTCAGGGCCACTCTTAACTCACAAGATCAAAGGGGTCAGGGCCCAAGTGCATGCTGGGAGACGACGGTCACGCGGGTGGTCAGCCATGTGGGCCCAGAGCCTCACCCGGCTCACCCACTAGCCCGGCAGCCCGGGACGGAAGCCTCCAGGCACTTCCACGTGGCACGGTGACAGTCGGCTGAGTCACATGGGGGGCAGACAGTGGGGCTGTGGCGCCTTCCGGTGGCTTCCCCGCCTCCGCCACGCCCCTCAGGATCCTGCCACCACGTCTGGAAAACAACCGCGGAAATCAAGTGGCCACCCAAATCCGCCACCCTGCCGCCCGCTCCCGAGGCCAGCCCCCACGGCACCGGGGCTCTGCCAGCCGGCACAGCTTGCCTTGGCGAGGCCCCGAGGGCACCGTGCTCGTCCCAGGGTTCCCAGCAGCTGGGCCTGTCGCCCATCTAGACCTGGGGCCCCTTTACCTGGGGTAAAGCCTGAGGACTCTGGGACCTAGGGCCAGGGAACCTCTAGGCCTGGCTCCCCCAAGACTCGCTGGCCACCCTCCCCTCACGGCCCTCAGCTCATGCGACATGGGGGACATGCACTGCCCGCTCAGAGGGCGGCGAGAGGAGAGGGAAAGGGAGGGAGAGGGAGCAGCTGTGCTGTGTAAACTGTGAAGTGCTGTCCCCAGCTGTGATGTTTACCGGCCTCCAACCTGGGAGGCCGGCTGCATAGGGGAAGCCCAAATTATGGATGGCAAGAGGGGTCCCAGAGGCTGCTCACCTCCGGTCTGCGGCCCCCAGTCTCAGCCCTTCCCAGCCAAGCCACAGCCTCCTACCCTGGCCTCCTGCCCCTTATTACCCCAAGCACAGTCACTTCCCATGACCATAATGTGGCTCTCAGACAGAGCCCTCCTCCCTCATGGCCATCTCTACAGTCTGTCCTCTGTGAAGCTCTGGACCCCAGGAATGGCACCCACAGCCCCTGGGAGGTATCTGCAGTGTGGGTGACATTATCCACCATGTCCCCTCCAAGGGCGTGGGCTCTGGGTGGGCAGGTGGGTGTCACGATCATCCTGGTTCCCTGCCCTTGCCACAGTGGAGGGCACCTGACCATGAGCTGGCCCAGGATCCCACCCAAATGGTATCCCATCCTCCAAACAGGGTCCCTTCCCCCTCCCCCAGGTCCAGGCACATCTGGCCACTCCCAGCCTCAGGGGACTCCAAGGGGCAGCGGGGGCAAGTCTCCTTCCCCAGGGTCCGCCTGGGCGCTGTGGGTGGGAGGTGGGGGGCGCTGGCCGTTAGCGCACAGAACCATCCAGACTTCGGATCAAAATAGACCAAGAAAGAAGGGGCTAGAATCCCAGGGGTGGGGGTGGGGGTGGGACAATAAATGTGAACCCTGCCATGGCCTATGACCAGCCACAGGGGGTGACAGGGACCAATGAGTCAAATGTCTCTGAAGTTTCATGCCTGGGTCACGGGAAGACAGTGGGGCCCTTGATGGGGCCAGGAAGTAGTGTGGGGGCTGCCTGGGGGCAGAATGGTGACGTGGCCTTGGGACGTGGACAGTTTCAGGCTGGAAGAAACCTACGAGATGGCCCGGGTCACACAGAGGGGGAGGGGCTTGGAGAGGAGCAGCCCCGGACTGGGACACGTGTGACATGAGACGCCTGGGACAGGGTTGGTGTTGGTGTCAGGGCGGAGGCTGGGGACCCGCCTGTGTCCCAGGGTATGGAGCCTGTGCTGGTCTGGGTCCTGCACTGGGCTGGGGGACCTGGAGGTGACTCAGACCCCCCGCCTCGGGGGTTTGCTGTTCTGGGGGGAGACGCACATGGTCATCATTCCAGCTCAGTCTGCGGGCCTCCCGGGCACGGCTGGGGCTCAGAGGGCCAGGCCCACCTAGGGGGAACGGGCAGGCAGCCAAGGGACAATACTGTCACCAGTATCAAGAAGAGCTGCCTGGTGTCAGCCATCCTGACAAGATCCGAGGTGTCCCTGTCCCCAGTGTACAGACGAGCTTGGGGTAACAGACTGTGGGGCCCCGGGGCTGGGGTGCCCGAGCAGCCCTTAACCCTCTCCGTGGAAGAGCTGTGCTGGAGCCGTGGCCTCGGGGCTCTGGAGCCGAGTGTCCCGAGTCAGGAGCCCCATCTCCCCGACGGCAGACACCGTGCCCTGTGGCCCACCTCCCTGCCTCTTGCCCAGCCCAGGGGGAGCGGGGCTGAGCCCGGGCGGGCGACTTGGGCAGCTGACCGCTCGTCACAGCTCCTGAGAGGCAACCGTTTGATTTTCTGTGACCTTCAAGCCCGTGATTTTACCTCGGAAGCCTGAACCGTCCCCACGGGAGTTCTTACATGATGAAGAGGCGTCTGACCCTCCGGCGCCCACGGCAGAGCTGGTCCTCAGGCCTGGCCAGCGTGTACCGTGCCCCGCCCGGAGTCCCCTCTCCTGGCCGCTCAAGCTCGCTGCCTAGCCCTAAAGCTCTTGGGGGGTTGCTGTCACTCAGTGTCTCCCACGTGACACCAGCGAAGGCCCCAGCTACTGCCCCGGGTCTTCCAGGCCTGAGTGTCTCCAGCTGGGCCCTCGGCCGCCCGCTGCAGGCTCCAGGCCGAGCCCCGCCAGGAGGGAGGATGCGGGCGGCGGGGGCCCGGGCTCTCCCACCTCTGCCACACGCCCTTCCCTGCTCCACCTGAGTCCTCCCACCCTGTGAGGCCAGCTTCCAGCTGGAGCTCGGTTGACCTTTCTCAACAGGATGGAAGGGAACCTGGGGGACCCCCCCGTGGTAGAGGGGTCCTGGTGCTGTGGGAGGCCGGACCCCCGGAGACTGAACCCCAACCCCTGCATGGGACGGAGACATAGGGGAGCGGCCCCCTTCCCCTTGCTGGCAGGCTGCAGGAAATGGACATGAGGACAGACTGGCCCCTGACTTCAGGAGCGGCCAAATCAGGAGGCAGCTCACACCACCCAGGGCCTCTGCAGCCAGACCCTGCTCCCCATCCTCCTCTCCATCCTCTGCAGCCTTCCAAACCCAGCCCCAGGCTGCCTCCGGGAGAGTCCCACCCGGGCCTGTTCACCCTCTGGTCGCCACACTCATGGCGCCAGTGACACTTGTGGGTCCATCTGCCTGTGGCCAGGCTAAGCACAGCCACCTGGCAGGAACCTGACCTGAGTCCTCCGCCTGGTGCCCCCCAGGTTCAGGAACTGCACGCCTTTTCCGCGTGGGCTACTGAGGACTGAACTTCAGGACCCTCTCCCCCCGAGTTACATCCCCAGCCCTTTAATAAATGTTTTCATCTTGAGACAGAGTCTCGCTAAGTTGAGAAGGCTGGCCTCCAACTTGTGATCCTCTGGCCTCAGCCTCCTGAGTGATGGGATCACAGTCCCCACTGCACCCCGCAGGAGCTGTTTGCCGAACTGACCTGAATTGACTTGGTCACTGTTTTGGGCAAGACACACCTGCCCCCTGGGACTCGGTTTCCCCCTCCCCATGAGCTGGACTTAGACTCGGTCATCTCTGAGGACTTTCCAGGCTTCTGCATTTCCCCCACCCTCTCCCGTTAGTCACCAATCCCTGAGCGTCCCTCCGAAGTCCCCAGCCTCCAATGGGAGACTCCTCTTTCTTTTTCTTTCTTTTTTTATTAATATTTTTTAGTTGTAGTTGACACGATACCTTTATTCATATTCATGTGGTGCTGAGGATGGAACCAGGGCCTCACGTGTGCTAGGCGAGCGCTCGACCACTGAGCCACCACCCCAGTTCCAAGACTCCCCTTTCTTGGCAGCCTTCACCCCACCCACCTACAGGCCATCGTCACCCCTCAAGCCCTGAATTCCACTTTTCAGGGTGCTCTTAGGTTCTGCTGAAAGGGCCGCCCAGGCCCCGCCCGCACGCCCTGGCCTCCCTTGCTCCCCGTCAGGGACGCGGCGCGCCTGAGTGCCCATCAGTGGCGGTGCTCGCGGGGCCTCGGGTGAGCTGGCAGAGTCCAGGTTCAGACAGGCCGGAGCCGCCTGCCCGTCCGTCAGTCGGGGGTGGCTTCCTGGAGCCCAGGGCAGACGCCACGCACCTTCTGGGGACCCTGCGTGGGGAGACAGCAGCCCTCTCCCCAGCCCACAGAGAGGCTGTGGAGGCCAGGAGGCCACTGTCCTCTCCAGTCCCTCTGCCTTCCTCGTCACCCGGGGACAGACATGTGCATGTGCTTGAGCAGGGAGACGTGCACACACAGACACACGGACACACAGTCA